TTCCTAAGGGGGTCGTGGAGGAGATTGCGTGTTTTTGGTACAACAACAGTGTACTCAGTCCACTCGCGAGGGGCAGTGTAAAGATTCCGGGTATTGTTGCCTTGTACTTTCCACGGAGGATAGTCCAAAAAACGTATCGTCAGCTGTACTTGGATTTCCTGCATCAGCACAGCACCGCCTTCCACGTGTCGTTTGGCTTCTTCGTGGGAGCAAAGCCTGGGTACGTCAAACCTTTTAGGATAAGAGGAATTGTAATGTTGTTTCAGCTTCTGGACTGATGTTACATCCATGAAGCTAAAATGACTGATCGCAGGCAGTGTTTGTTTTCGTTTAGGGCTGGTCCCTTTTTATTACTCATCAAGTAATAGATTTTCAGGGTGTTGTGTGATTCATTACTTAGCTGTAAGGCACTGGGGGCCTCCGCCCCCTCCAGAACCCCCGATAAGTTGCAAGTCCCCTCACAAACTCAGAGCCACGCGCAGATTGGGCCTTCCGCTCGTATGGGTAGTTTTACAGGTATGGGGCCACGCACCCCCCAACCATGTAACACACACACACACACGCGCGCGCGCGCAGATGGTGCGGTTCTCAGTGTCATTCATTCCTGCGGGAGATAGCGTGTGTGTCCAAGTCCAGATGGGAATAATGGTCAGCCCCGGTGCATGGGCATGCAATGTTGTACTGCTCGTTGATACGCGGCGCATACCATGTGGGGCAGGACAGTGCTACTTATCCGTTTGCGCGTTGCTCCACGAGTTAGCATTCAGGTTCAAGCCTTTTGCCCTTTCCATTTTGTTGTGGCCTTGTGTGCTCCGCATGTGCGGCATGTTTTGCAGGCGCTCTCTTGCACAGCAGATGCAACGGACCAGATAACATCTCCGTACAGATGCCGTCCAAATCTGTTGGCTTTGCTGTGCTACACAATACAATGTTCTTCCTTGCTTCGCTTTGAGTTGGGGTGCTGTGTCACCGCAGATGTACGGTGCTGGGTTTCTGTTCAGCATTTGCTAACAGCAGTAAGTTTTTTGATATACGGTTATATGGTGATGATCGTGAGCACGTCCCCCAAGACGTTTTGTGGGGGGTGTCATGGGTATAAGGAGCAGGTCGAACGTGAGGGGCCCTACTCGCGCTCTGGCACGCGGCTGCACACGCACACGCACACGCACGTGCGAATACCG